TGGCCAACGACGATCATAAAAAACGAACACACGGAAAACAGCTGTCGAATAAGTTGCTTGAAGTTTTCGAAGAGCTAGAATAACAGCTGTTAATTCCAATTCAAACATGAGTGTATAATCTGAGGGCGTAAATGAAAAATATCAGAATATTAAGGGAAATAAATACCAACATCTGCTTGCACATCACTCATAGGTGTATCCGTTGCACATATAGTATAAGTACATATTTGAGACAGGTGCTCCAATGAGCCAGTCAACTTAGCAGTTTCACAAGGAAACATACTAGGTCCGATTTTATTTCTAATATACAGCAAGGACATCGTACAGGTCAATAATGAACTAGTTCAGATTATGCATTGCACAGATAATCTTGCTTTTTAATAAAATAAATGTTCGTATGATGAATACTTGCTGAATACTAATCTGCAAAGATACCTGTATGAAGTGAAAAGTGGGAAATGCAACTTAACGCTGAAAAAAAGTTTTTCATGATTATGAGTAGAAATAAAAGCATTTTACTTTTTCCATATAGTCTCCCTTCAGAACAGCTATCGAAACTCCCTCTCTACAAATATCTCGGCATCCTAATAACTACTCCACTCAGTTGTAACATCCATATTATGAACATTTGTTCAACCGACTTCGATAAGGTGTGCTTTTCGAGATATAAGTCAATGCATACACCACCTGATGTCAAGCTTCTCGGAAATTCGTCCAATATGAGACCCAAGCTGGAATACGCATCAATTGTCTCGGATCCTAATACAAAAAAGAATGTCGACGCATTGAAGATAATCCAACAAGAATCAGTTAGATTCATTCATTCCTAATAACGTCAAGCACAAACTTGTACTCAACTAAAAAATATTTACGACATAAAATCATCGCAATTACGAAAAAAGTTGACAGATTAAAATTTCTGTTTTCTTTTAAAAATCGTCAATTGCTACTTCCCCCTAAGCTTTACGTGAAAGCATTGGCGTCACGAGTTACAAGACATCGACCTCATAAATCAATGACCCAATAAAGCACAAAAGCAATCCTTTTCAAGTTCTCATTTTTTCCGCGTATAACTAACAGATGGAAATCGCTGCGAAAATCATCAGTGCATAGTATAAAAGCAATCTAAAGCCTTCAATATTGATGTTAGGCTAATTAAATAATGTTCCTTTGTTGTGTGAATATTGCCTATTACATCCTCACACTTTATGAGATATTCAAGGTGTCATTACTTCTGAGCTATAGCGTACAAATTACACACTGTCTTTTTTGTGCTTATTTTTCCTTTCGATGCACTGTGTCAAAATGTCTAGCCTTTACGAGTGTACTTTTGTCCCGTCTGCTAGGGCCCAATACAGGCCTGCAGTATCTGCGGAAAAGGATAAAACAATAAAAATAAATATTTAGAGGGCGAACCTTGCTTTCGATAGACATCGGCATGGAGTCTTTCTTCTATTTTCCACCTTTCATCAGCGTCTGTAGACATCCCACGCTGGAGGAGCAACTCGCGACCACCGAAATGAAAGTTTGGTAGTGCAGCTTCGCTGTATCTCAATTTTTATGATTTGCGTGATCTTCCACAAGGGCTTCAAAATGTGCCCGAAGAAGTGATTTATTCGCTTATATAAAAATGAAAAACCTTAGAATTTATTTCTTTATATACATTTTTATTACACTGCATGTACACTGTATTGATATGATTCATTCGCATAGACATTCTGCACAGCTTTGACATGTAGCCCACTGTTGTAAACGCACTACTTTGCAGTCTGGAGGCTTGAATGCAGACCGAGCATCACTAAGAAAGATTTTTTTATTCATTTGTTTTTTGGTGGAGATGCTTCTACTATGCGAGAGAGTGATGGGCACAATGTTTTCTCACTTATTCAGCATAGTAGTCTTTACGTATTTCCTTCAAAACAGGCATGCACACAAGTGTCCATAACGATCAGGTGAGCTTTCACAAGCCTGCCACGCAGGAACTCCACGCAATGCCGTTGTGCAAGCAGGACTGAATTTCTAAGGCAGTTCAGTGGTGATGTCGGAATCATCACACACAATATATAGGAAATGGTGTAACATTCACGAGAAGTGTCTAGGACACTGCATTTCTCATCAGTAGGCCGGACGAGCGTGCAGAAAAAATGCATAAGCGTAAACCAAAAAATGGGTGAATTTCAAGTGTGACGTCCCCGCAAACGCCCACTGGAGCCCGGGCCTTTCATGATGTTTACGTCTTTCAGCACACGCATTTAAAAAGGAAAAGAAAAAAAAAGCTCCTCGAGTAACGAATGAACGTTTCGGATTTGAGTTCCTAGAATCGATTCTGGTGACGGTTTTCATGGGCCCACCGCGCAAACACCAGAACCGAGTGGCGGCTCATTCTCAATGGACACTACGGATGCACCATGCGCACCCTTCAGATTTATGGCCTGGGGGGTAGCAGAGCGCCTCTTGTTGGTTCTGTACATGCGACGCTGCTGTAGCGCCTGTTCCTGGCCTGGCCTGACATTCCGTCAGCCTCCACGGCTCCCGGGCTCATTACTGCGTTCTGGCCAAAACCGCCTGTGGCGTTGAAGGAAGAAGAGGCGGCGGCTACGGCGAATGGTGCGCGAGACACCGGGTTGCGTGGAGGCGTCGAAACTCGATCTGGACACCGGGTCGTCGGGCGCCCGAAAACATTTTGGCAGAGTACTCCAAACTCCAGGCATCGACTATTACAGACGGTGAGCTTTGTCGGAACGTTGGGACTCCTGGTCGCCCGTAATTCACGTATCATCGGACAGCTCGCCCACCTCTACCTCTAAAGTTGGAGTTTATACATTATTACTTGCTCTACTTTGCTTGGAAGAGGGCTTTTCACTGGTGTGGGCAGCGGGGGTGGCTGTCGAAGCTGGCACACTCCGACCTACAAGAAAATATGCCACATCAACACTGGCAATTGGTTAGGTGCCACGGAGGGGCAGATTCGGGTCCTACGAAAATGGACCGTGGAACCGCGATAAAGATGAGACGGGGCAATGACACAGAGATGATAGAAAGGCGGAATGGAAAATTCATATAACGGTTTGAAGAGATAGAGATGAAAGTCGATGAGACGGTGACTGATGCAGGGATCGTATATCATGAGGAAGGAAAGTTAGGGATGTGAGACGAAGAGGCGAGGGATTGGGACGTCATTAAAGGGCACTAAGATGAAAATGGTTGAGAGAGAAGACGAAGCGGACGGTGACCAAGACGGTGAAGAGCTTGACGAATTGGACAGTGGGCCTAGGAGGAAGCCCTGAGCCCCGACTCTACTAGCCAACTCCGAGGTCCCCGACAACATCGACTCTTCGTGAGACGAACTTCATGGATCTTATTTAGACGAGCTTTGCGGGAATGGAGTTGGCGAGTTTAGACATTGCGTGGTTTTATTAACTGATAATTTCATAATTTGTGCCATTGTATGTTTCCTTTATATTGGCGTAACCTTGTATTGTTGTGGTTACTTTCCTTCCGTGCCCTGTATTAAACGTCGTGAGTGTCTAAATCATGTGTTTTAGTTTTGTGTAATGGTTATACGCAGGCAGCATGAGTGTACGCGGTTGGCAATTAGTAATGAATAAAATGCATCGGTAATTAGGAAGAGGCCGTAGCGTCTCCTATTTCAAGTCCCCAGCACGTATCCCTGTGTGTGTAAAGTGGTTGAGACGCATAGCCAAGAGGGAACCGAGAAAAAGGGTTGAGTGGTCTTCCCTCTCTTTGGCGATCAGTGGCGTAGCGGGGACGTCTCACAAGTACAATGACATTGCCAGTGCCTACACACGGTGGAATCTGTTGCCGGCATTTGCTAGTCTAGGTTGCAATGTAAATAAAGTCTAATGGTGATGCTTCCCTGCATTTTATTCACCGCTCTCTGAACACCCAACTGGACGAAAATAAGTTTGTCACTGAAATAAATCCATGAGGGACAGCACTCAACTTGTTTGATAAGCGACCAACCACAAACATCAGCCGTGGTATAGCATAGTCCAGTCTGAGCTGAATTCGTACGTTACTTTCTATGCAATATTGTCTGCATTATATATTGCTTTTGTCACGCAACGTCACAGGGGCCCTAACTCAATAACTTCAAAGAAGTCCTTCAATCTATACAAGTAGCATGTAAGAGAAAACTTGACTACATAGCTCCCTTAATATTTCGCCGAGATAAAACAGCTATAAAAGCATGTTAACAATTATATGAGACGTATAAACTCATTTGACCCTATTCTCCAGATGTCATCAACAGAGTTTTGGGAATAAAGTAAGCAATCTCAATGACGTAAGAAAAATGCATGTTACCCTCTCACGTACAATTTGAATAAACACGTTCTTCAATATAGCAAAACGTGTAACAGTTCCTTACCAGTGCACTGTGGTTTCTTGACTAACATTTACAATCTGTAGTTACACGAGGCACACATGCGAAGGATATACTGTTTGATTGGGCGAAATAGATTCTGCTACAGCTACGTTCACAGACAAATTGATTGGCAAGTACTGTAAATAATTGTCTTGAGAATCATTCAGCATCAGAGCATTCACAAATATTTGGGAAGAAAACCCTTTCCCAGTTAATAAAAAGTAAAAAAAATTCTGTTAAGACTACGCATTTGTTTCTTTATGGCCGTTTTTAGACTCAGAAGAATGAAGCCACTACATGCATGCTTGATTTTCTCAGTTTCTCAGCAATGTAAAAAAACCGGTCACAATGATCTTTGCTTAAGACTTTACCAAGACATCTCGATAGGTCCGTCGATTGCTTGGTTCACTTTATCTACCCCTCATTAAAAGCTCCGATCATCAGTCTGCAATAGATCGCCTGGCTACACAAATATTTCTTTTCGTTTATTGGCGATCCTCGGGCTTCTCCTCTCTGTGTCCGCATTGATGCGATTCAGAAGATGATGACGTTGCACATAATTCAAAACAACTTTCACACTGATAGCCCTTTTCAATTGTACTCACTGGTTGGTTTAGAAGTTTATCTCCAGTCCACACGAAATGCTCATCAGATGCATCGCAGTTAAAGGGTTTTCTTTTGTGTGTTTCCGTAGATGATTTTTAAGTGTTCTCGAGCGTGCGAATGACTTTCCACATGTCTCGCAAAGGAAGGGCTTCTCGCCTGTGTGACTACGTTGATGATGCTTAAGATTTGTCAATTTAGCGAATGACCTGCCACATATCTCGCAACTGTAGGGTCTCTCGCCAGTATGAATGCGTCGATGTTCTTTAAGGTTTGCGAGTTGCGCGAATGATTTGCCACATATGTCGCAAACGTAGGGCTTCTCGCCAGTGTGAGTTCGTCGATGAATTTTGAGACTCTTTGGATGCGCGAACGTTTTGCTGCATATATCACAAACGTAAGGCCTTTCACCTGTGTGAACATGCATATGTTATGTAAGATTCGAGGAATTAGAGAATGTTTTAGCACATATCTCGCAAATGTAGGGTCTCATGCTGGTATGAATGCGTCGATGATTTGAGAGACTCGTTCTTTGCCTGAATGACTTGCCACATATCTCACAAACGTACGGCTTCTCGCCAGTATGAATTCGATGATGATCTTTGAGACTCCTTTTTTGCGCAAATGACTTGCCACATGTATCACAAACATAGGGCTTCTCCCCTTTGTGAGTATGCAGGTGATCTCTGAGGGTTGGACTCCTCTTGAATGATTTGTCACAAGATGTACAGTTGTAGCAGCGTTCTCTTGGTGACTTATTTTTCACTTTGGCCTTCTCGTAGCCACCAGTGATTTCTTGGTGTCCTCTTTCTCTGGAGATGGAAAAATTCGTGCAAGTACCCCAAAAAAAGAAACACAATGTTGAATATTTACTCAATACAGAAAGGTAGCAATACGATTTAGAGCACAGCTCTTATAGCTTGATTAGGGCCACTTGATTATGGCTCAAAAAATGGCCTTCGCGCCCTTATCGTGCACTCTGCAAACAATGACCGGCCCACTAGAGAATGCAAGACAGAGCGGAGAGCACAGCTCTAGCAACACACAAGTTGGGAGCCGGACCTTCGGTGGTTCTCAGCAGAAGCAAAGGAAACCAGCGCAAGGGTGTATGAATAGTGTGTTATAACATTGCTGGAATAACATAAGCTGAAAAGGAAAAAACCGTGGCGTCGTGGCCACCAATTTGTGATTTTAGACAGCTTGACGTAAATTAACCACTATAACCATTTCATAATACTACCGTACTTGCACAGCTAAAACATTTTCAATATGTAGTAGAGTAACAAAGAAATAATTTTAGCGTAAAGTACACGGTATGCTATTATCTCTGCTGGCAAAGCAACTTGTCGAAAGTGATTCAGCGCACTTCACAGAACCCTAAGGCTCGTTCACACCGAAGCAGCCAAAGCGGCGAAATGCTATTAGGGCACGTACGCCCTAAGCGCAGATCCGCAAAGCGGAAGTAGATTGCCCGTAGAAGCAAAAACATTACCGCCTATCACTCCGTACAGATGGTCAACCAGTGAAACTGAAACTTGCGATCACACGTTTTTGCAGATGTCGCACCCAAAGCCGCTGAACAAACTCCTGTCTTCAGCCTCGGCAAACGCGTTTCCGTCATATCCTTGTTGACCCTGCTCAGCCTACAATGTGCGTAAGTCATCCTTCAGTATCGCTGATTGAAAAAGTAAATGAATGTAGGAATAACATGTGATATTACACTGCATTTATTAAGGTTTTTATTGGTATATATTTTTGTGCGATACCAATTTCGCTCATGAGCAGTTATATTGTGGTGCTGGAAAGAGTATAAAATCTGTTTTTTATTGAAAAAAATCAGTGAGTCGGCGCTGGTCTCTCTGTCCTTATTGTCTCTGTCCTTGTCTAAGTGCACTTTAGCTTCAGTCTGCAGCGAAACCAACTAGCCGGTTTTTCCTTATTATTTCAACACTCCTTCCTTGGTTTGCTGTTATGTCTAGAATATAGCCACAATGACTTCACTAATCTACAGTCCAATCTGAACCGCGTCTAAAACTGGTGCGTCACTTGGCACGTGGAGCTCAATACTAAGCAACGCAAATACATGCAAGTGTTACGTGGAAAATAACGATAGTCAGTCCACAGCCACAACGCAGCTCACAGACAACGTCCACTTCTTTACTCTCAGTCTGAGGAACCTTTCCTGGGTATGTCCCACTATGCCCTGTTTCAGTCAGCCGAAATCACGTAACACAACCCCCGGCGACAAAAGCGCCGACCCAACGAGCTTACGGGGCCCCAGAAGGAGCAGTGAGGTAACGCTTGAGCCTTGATACGTGGACGATGTCCCTATACAGCAGAGCAGAAGAGGTTGAGGAATTGTAAGGGGACAATTTCATATGTAGTGTCGGTCACTCGTCTAAGCACGCGGTTTGGTCCCGTGAAACGCGAAAGAAGCTTTTCTGAGAGGCCTGTATGTCGCGTAGGGGACCAAAGAAGAACGAGGGAACCTGTCCGAAAGTGTTAGTCGTGATGCCACTCGTCGTAACGATGCTTCTGCAAGTCTTGGGACGCCAATAATCTGCTGCGGGCAAGCTGACGAGCGTGGTCAGCTCGGGTAATAGCGTCGCATGCATATTCAAAAGTAGACTGCACAGCGGCTGGCAGGAAGGTATCCAACGGCAATGATGGTTCGTGTCCAAGCAGAAAGTAAAATGGCGAGTACCCAGCAGTGTCATGCCGGGATGAATTGTATGCGAACGTCATGTAGGGTAGTGCAAGGTCCCAATAACGATGGTCGGCCGAGGCGTATTCCGATAGCATGTCTGTCAGGGTGCGATTTAAACGTTCTGTAAGCCCGTTTGCCTGGAGATGGTATGATGTCGTGAGCTTATGTTGGGTAGAGCAGGAACGCAGGATATCAGCAACAACTTTCGGAAGGAACGTAGGGCCTCGGTCTGTCAGCAGTTGACAAGGGGCTCCATGCAATAAAATGAGATCGCGTAGTAAAAATTCAGCGATGTCTGTAGCGCAGCTTGTTGGTATGGCTCGCGTAACTGCATAGCGTGTCGCGTAATCTGTAGCAACCACGACCCACTTGTTTCCGGAGGCGTATGTTGGGAAGGGACCGAGAAGGTCCAAACCAACACGGAAGAATGGCTCCGATGGGATGTCGATAGGCTGAAGATACCCGGAAGGGAGTCTCTACGGCTTTTTGCGACGCTGGCTAATTTCGCAAGAGTTGACATAACGACGTACAGAGCGTGAAAGGCCAGGCCAGTAGAAGCGGCGGCGCAAACGGTCATATGTGCGAGAGACACCAAGGTGACCCGTGGTTGGTGCGTCATGGAGCTCGCGTAGGACTGTGGAGCGCAAGTGCTTTGGTATGACCAAAAGTAGGTCGTGACCATTGGGCGATAAATTACGCCGATATAAAGTGTGGTCCTTTAAGGCGAACATGCGAACAGAAGCGTCTTGTGGTGAAGATTCGAGCTGTGGTATTAGGCGGCTGATACCCGGATCGCGACGCTGCTCGTCCCCGAGATGAATCAGCTGGGAGATGGAAAGGACGCAACCCACAGAATCAGTGCTCGTAGGATTGCAGTCGACGACAGGGTAGCGTGACAGATAATCCACATCTTTGTGCAGTTTTCCCGACTTATACACTATGGTGTAAGAATACTATTGGAGGCGCAGTGCCCAGCGGGCGAGACGACCTGTGGGATCTTTAATGGAGGCGAGCCAGAAAAGAGCGTGGTGGTCGGTGAAGACTGTAAATGGTCGGCCGTATATGTAAGGGTGAAATTCGCGACTGCCCACACCAGCGCTAGGCATTCGCGCTCTGTGATGGAATAATTACGCTCCGAGGGGGACAGCAGCCTGCTGGCATAAGCTATCACGCGATGCTGCCCACATTGTCGCTGAGCCTATACAGCGCCTATTCCGTAACCGCTGGCATCGGTGCGGACTTCGGTCGGTGCCGTAGGGTCGAAGTGAGCCAGAACAGGAGAAGACGAATCTATAGAATCGAGAGTATGCGATGATAGCCAATGATTTGCTGCACCTAAGTTTCAGTTACGCGAGCGTCTGCTACAGCGCTTACGGGATGCCGCGTACGTTGTAATAGACGTTTTGGTGGGCTGTGCAAAGCCAAGCGCTCACCTTTCATTAACGACTGTAGCTAAAAAAATTGCTCGATGGCCTAAGCCATCGAGCAATGCATGCACTATCTCGCCAAGTACAAGTAAACAACACTCCAATGAAACCACGCATAAATCGATGCATGCAATGTTTGAAAGTGTGCCTCAAATGTCGATAGACGGTATCACACGTACAAAAAGGACGAAAAAAAAGAGAGAGAGAGAGAGACTCTTATTTCGTCACCGCGAAAGCTTGAAATCGATAGATAATGAAGACAATTTTCTGGCCCAGCAGACGTCAGGGAATGTTTCCGCAAAGCAGCGTCGAATGCTTGGAGAGCATAAAAAAGTGGAGTACGCGTTTTATGGCAGTGACAGCCACACAAGAAGCGGGACGAAGTGTGACTGTGTTTAGATGTGAGAATAAATGCTAATTAGGAGAGTTGTGAGTCAATGAGCCAAATTTTCCCTAAATAACGATAATGGAAACAAACTGATAATTCATCTAGTGAAAGTGACACTAGTGACAGTGAATTCATAATAGTGGATTAGTGTTGTCACAGGCTGATGTATATTTTTATTTTCTTATTTAAATTGGGCAAACTATGAGAAGGTAGCCTACGTTAGAGCCGGCTATCTCAACGTCATGCCAGTAGTGTACAAGCTAAATAGCATACGGTTATATAGCCACACGTGGCGGTCTCTATCTTCTAGTAACCTTGGGCAAATGCATTCTAAGTATTTTTTCTATTTTTGACGAAGTTTCACCGGGCGTTTTTGCATTTGGCGTCATTCGAAGGAATGACGATATATCAGCAATAGGGTGAATGTAAACACTGCTGCGCTGGACGAGCGGTTACAGCGCTCAGCTACAATCTAGGAGGTACTTGGTTCGATTCGCGGAGTCGCTGAGCACATATTGTTCAAGAGGTTGCCCGGCCTGACATTATGCGTGGTGGAGGGTACTAATTTTTTGAGAAGGTGGCGTTCGCACTTGCTTCTTTCACTCCCCTTTTGACCCAAAGGGGCTGTGCCGTGCTCCTTCATAAATTACATGATTCAGGGCTCATAAACTTTTCCTCTATCCTCTCTTATCACAAATGTGTCCAGTGGTGAAATACCAATATCATACTTGGTATATTACTTTTCACGTGTTTGGATATTCCACCACTGATCAGTCGTCACGTTGTTTTGAAGAAAATCTACACATGCAGCGAGCTAACTGCTTGCGGCCAAGTTGACTGCCTTTGTCGGGACACGCTTTCGTGCTAATTTGCTGGGCATCATCACATGCAGCAAGGCCAAAGAGCACGGGCAGTTAGAGCAGACACAAACAGAGGGATTAGTTTGTGTCTGCTGTCCCGCTATCTGTCATGCTGCGCACTTCCTTGTAATGTCACTGTCAATGGTTAAAATGAACCATAGCAGTTAATCGAGTTCAGCTGAGAGGGTCCCCTATTGTCCAGAATGGAACAGAACAATGGCGATTTGATTATTGTCATAGAGAGATACTCTGCTATTGGTTATTAGAATAAATTTTTAAACCGAAGTTTATTTTTTATTAACAACAGTTCCAGTGTAGATGAAAGGTGCATGGACAAAATTCGTGTGTTCAGCTTGACTAGGTTTGTGACCTCAATTGTAATTGCCAACCGGTATTAATTACAATATGCATAAATATCACACACATATAC